AGATGCCGAACAACAGACCTCTAGGACCAGAAAAGAGGAACCCTGACCTAGATCACCATCTCTAATGAAAATTCTTATGAAGGGATGTTTTGATTTAGTTTCCTGAATAAGCATCATGTTAATTTTGTATATGCTAAATACAGAGGAAATACAAATGATTTAATTTCTGCTACAAACAACCAATAAATATAAGTTAAATTCACACATTTAACAGTAATTACATTAATGGGGTGAAAGAGAATGAAATCTAAATGTTCAGTATATGAAATTTAGAGTTCCTACTCCAGTAAGTCAACACTCTCTCTGCTCATGTAAGCAGTGGTGCCTGTCAGTCTCCTTAAACACCACAAAAACAATCTAGAAATATGTAAAGATTTCTTAAATTAACTGTATTCACCCTCAATTTGAGAAGCTAAATAAGATGATTTGCCAATGGAATGAGTATTTTTATTTTTAAAATAAGATAATTAGATAATATGCACTTAAAATAAGACAATGCAATGGGTTTTTTTTCTTATTCTAAATTTAAATTGTTTTGTTTCATTGGCAAAGTATCTCACTTGCCTCCTCAATTCAAGAAGAGGTGCACCTATTTTAAGATAAAACTGACTTATTTAGATTTCTATTTTTTGCACTGAGCCAAGCTGGCAGATCTGAGGGAGGTCTTTTTTACAGATTTGTAACTCTGTGTGCAGGCCCACTATGCTTCCACAAACAGTAATAATCTCCTGCCATAGATTCATTCATAGTCAGCGGGAACTGAGGCTGTGATCCACTGCTGCTGAAAGGCCTCTGCATCAGATGCACGGTGGCTGGTTTCATAAAACAGCAGGCTAGGAGGCTATCCAGGTTTCTGCAGATACCAATTCAGATCATCATCAAGTCGACTAGATTTTAGAGTCCAATTAAATCTTGTAATCAGAAGATCCTGAATTAAAATTATATCTCTTAACTTAGCATGAAACTGGACTGTCAGTATTTGGAACAAGATCAGAAAGACCTTCATTATTGATGTATGCAATAAAGTTAAATCATACACTGTGAAACTGAACCACACAGCTTATTGCTTTAATATGATCTGATGCTGTGGGAAGTGGGGCATCACCTTGTTTTCAAATTAGAACTGGAGCAGCGTATGTAGGGCTGAATGATTTTAATCAAAGTACAGCGAAGACTGGTACTGTCCTCTTGTGACATATATATAAATTTATATATATAACAGGGAAACCAATGATTTAACATTTGGAAATTGAGTCTATATCACTGCTAGGTATGACCCTTCCCATGACAAACATCTATGATAGACTTTCCAAATAAGACTAAAGGGACTACAAGACAAAAGCCTCTTCCTTATACACACTTATTCATTGCGACATACTGCATGGCTCATAGTTATGACCCACACTCAACCAATTTCTTGAAATTACAACCCAAATGACCCTTGTGTGTCATACATTGTGTACGTCTATTTCGCAGCTTTCTGTGCCAATGGCCTTGCCCTTTTTCTGTCCTTCAGGAGCTCTCATAGGCGTGAGCAATCAGTCTGGGGAGCCCCAATGTCACTTCTATGGGGGGCGGTTTTGGGGGCCACCCATTACCCAGGTTGCCTTACCAGGCAGTAGGTGACCCCCCTTCAAAATTTATTTTTATATTAAATTTATATTAAAGAAATTATGTATTTTTTCTCTTCCAATTCCTGAAGTTGACCCTCAAATAATTGATTATAATATTTGGCAAATGTATTTGATACAGCTTTTGTGTCAGTTTCAACATTGTTGGAATGGAGATTTTTAATTTTAGGAATTATTTGACTAGCTTGTGCCTTCTGTAGTTTAGATTATAATAACCTGCCAGCTTTGTTCCTTTCTCATAATATTTTCTATCAATAAACCTAAGGGCCCTTTCTGCCTACATTAGGGTGACCATATTTTCATTTGGGAAAACCAGGACACCTTGGGGCGGGGTGTTGGGATCTCTGCTCCTATGCATAGAGATGTCTGTGGCATGCACTCACTTAACATAGACCTACGTAATCCTACAATAACATGATATTTACAGTTGATTTATTAAAAATTCTTTTCAGTAAAAGTCAACAGCAATAACTCCAATAACAAACGATAATTTCATTCAAAATATATTTATTAAAAATGCTTAATAATTCCTGTAATGAATGAATAGCACAATGAAAGAAATAATGTCTCATGTCTCATTCAAACATCCCTCAATTAACAATAAAAGTTAACAATAACTCTCAACTCCCAATAACAGATGATATTCAGCCTCAAAATAATGTCTGTTCTGTAGGCTATTGGAAAAAATAAATTAACAAATGAGCTAATTAACAAGAAAATACCTCTTGTGTAGCAAAAATTATTCAAAATGTACCAAAAACGAACAAACATATCAATAGACTATCTTTACTTTCGGTGTCCAGGTAGCTTTTCAGATCCCTTGCACCTGCATTGGACACCGAGACATAATGTGCCTGCTTTGCACACTGTGCACAAGGCCTCCCGTTTGTCTCGACCCGGTCTGAAAGCGGGGAAACTGTTTTGTAAATCGTCGGTAAACATACATTTGCGCTTTTGCATGTTGTTGGCGTACTGACAGCCACGCTATCTATATTCTGATTAAGAACAGGGCTGCCCGCACTGCCAAAAAAGTAACTGCCAGTATTTCTACTTTTCTTTTGTTTTAAATCTTGCTCTAAAATCAGTCATTGGCCTTATTGTTTATGTACCTCTTTTTTTTTTTTTAGCCCCATATATAAGTATTTTTTTCTACCCATGTTGTAAATGTTTGTACCTCAACGAGTGTTTGTACACTATTTGCTTGATATATAAATAAAGTTTGGAAAAAAAAAAAAGGGCTGCCCACACTGACCCGGCTCAGGGATTACGTCACACGCAGCGTCGTGCGCAGTGCCCTGGTGCCTGTAAATTTAATGGTCCAATTAGGGTAATTTAAAAAATCAGGACATTTCCTCACCTTCTAAAAAAAACCCGGGACGTCTGGGACAGGACGTGAAATACGGATATGTCCCGGGAAATACGGACGTTTGGTCACCCTATTATACATCAGTATCTCATCTAACTTGGCTCTATTCTCTTTAAGTTTATTCATTACTTCTTGTTTTCCACTTCACCTATGTTCAAATTCTAATCTCTTGATTTCAGTTTCTAATTCTAGTTTTTTAAGTCTGTCTTTCTCTAACTTTGATCCTACAGATATAATTCCCCCCCTTACTGCTATCTATGCATCCCACAAAACAGAAGGTGAGGCCAAAACATTGTCATTCAAAGCAAAATAATCTAGTATTACTGCCAGACTTTGTTTAAAGGTTTTATCTTTCTAGCCTGTATATCAAGTTTGTGCAAGTGGCTGATGAGATTAACTCTATAAATGGTAAATGGTCTGTAGAGGCCTTTTTCAAGTCAGGAGACTTGACCCAAGTGCTTTACACTACATTTATTCATTCACCCACACACTGATGGTGACAAACTACATTTTGTCCTTGAACCCCAGTTGGCCTCGGCAGATGGCCGCCCACACTGAGCCTGGTTCTCCTGTAGGTTTCTTTCATTTAAAAGAGGTTTAAGTTCATTTTGACATTTACTGGTAAACAGCTGAGGCATCTTTAAATGATAAATGTTATCTATCATAATTGACCTTAGTACTTTTGAGGTTTCTGTCAGCTCTGTGTTCAGTGGTCTGTATCAGGGTCTCTTTCTCCTCAGCAGCTGCAGTCAGTTTCTGCTCAAACAGCTCAGTGTGTCTGCAGGCTGACTGAGGGAGGTTTTTGTACAGCTAAAAATCAATGTGTAAACACAACATCATCATTTACTAGGTGTAGGCTCTGACAGTAATAAACTGCTGCATCTTCAGCCTGAAGTCCAGTGATGGTCAAAGTGAAGTCAGTGCTGCTTCCACTGCCACTAAACCGATCTGGTGTTTCTGTATGAAGCGTTTTTGCGTATTTTATCAGGAGCTTTGGAGGCTGTCCTGGTTTCTGCTGATACCAGAACATAGCCTCATCACCATCATCATATTTAAAAACAGCAGGACTTGTTGTACACCCAATAGTGACAGTTGATCCTGGAGCAAATGTCTCCACTGGAAGATGAATCACAGTCACCTGAGCGCTGCATCCTGCAGACAAAAACAAATCCTTAATTTATCAGCAGAAAGAAATGAGAGAAAAAGCAGCACATCATGTTAAAAATGTTGCTCAGGAAATGAACCTGTAAAACAGCAGCAGGTCAGCGTCCAGATGAGGATGGAGATGAGAGTCATGGTGCTTGTTGTTTCTGCTGGCTTGACTGACAGATCAGAGTCCTGCAGTGTTAAACTCTCAGGACTATAAACCTTCTCAGTTCCCTAGAGGATCAGCTGACCATGCAAAGCCTCCTCTCTATGGAAATGATTTCTCTGCTCTCAGCGCACTGGAGACAAACAGAGACACAACATCTGAACAAAGAGTGGCTGGATATAAACTATTCAACACCTAAACAAAAGAGAAGAAGATAAAATAGAGACGAGAAGAATTTTGGTATTTGGATTTAAATCCAATCTCTTTTAAAGGTATAAATAATTCTTCCCTTTTACTAACAGATATTTCTAATATTCTAATACAGCAAGACTTATAAAAGATGTATATAATTCAATAGTTTTGAGATTTGTATAACTTAGATTATTTTTTTAAAACCTATTTTAGCTTTTACAAAAAATAAAACATGAATTACTGAAGAATGTAACAACACTCTCCCATGAGGCAAAGAAACGTTTGTTTCTATTGGGTGATAAACTGAAAAAAAAAAATCATAAGTTATGATGCAATTTAAAGCTGAGCAAATCCTGGAAGATTTGTTTAAAAAAATGAAGTATAAACTGTTCCGTTTTTATTCTGAAAAGGAACATTTCAGCAGAAATTTGTTTGCCGTCAGAGAAGGAGGTTTTTGTACTTAATGAGTACTTAATGAGTTTCTATCACTGTGGTGGACTTTTGGTGGAGGAACCAAACTCATCGTTGACTGTAAGTACAAGAAAGATTTAATGCTGCTCAATCGTCTAAATTTCCTTTTTTTTTTTGCTTTTTACCGGTATATCTAATAAACTAAAGAGAAAGTTTTGTAGCAACTTTACGACAGTTTGGGGGAAAAAAAGTTCTGAGGATGAGCCTTGTAGAAGTCAGTGTTTGTTCTGGATTGTAAATTGTTCAAATCAGAGAAAAAAATAAATTTATTTTCTTGTGCAGCCATAAAATGTGTAGATCAACATTATCTACTTTAGATGGTTTAAAGTTTAATTCCTTTTTACAGTTGATTTAATTCCTATTCAAAATTGTTTTTCTTCTTTACCCTTTTTTTCTAATTCTAATATTTCGTTTTTCATCATCCTTTTGTTAGGATGTTAATTAATAGTGAATATCTGATCTGGATTCCTGTTAAACTGAACTAATATTTTATTAGTAAACTCAGATCAGCTTTGTCTTCATGCTTCATTTGTTTTCCATGTAGTTTAAAGGAAGTGAAAGAAACAGATGTCAACGTTTGAACTGTTCCCTCATGAGTGTTTCAGCTCTCTCAGTTTAATCATCAGAAAATCATCTCAGGGATTCATTATTAAGAGTCACTGATTATCAGAGACGTATGAAGATGTCATCATTAACCATGAAGAATGAAGCTTTGAAGGTGTTTTTAGCAGCTCTCATTATCATTCCTGTGTCTTTTCTCCCCCTCTCCTCCCCCTCTCTCCTCCAGTGGGTGTGGTGCGTCCCACCCTGACCGTCCTCCACCCCTCCAAAGAGGAGCAGCAGCAGAGCAGTGTCACACTGGTGTGTCTGGCCAGCGGGGGCTTCCCTTCAACCTGGAGGCTGGGCTGGAAGGTGGGGGGCAGCAGCAGGTCCTCAGGGGTGTCTAACAGCCTGGAGGTCCTGGGGAGGGACGGCCGCTACAGCTGGAGCAGCACCCTGAGCCTCCCTGCAGACCAGTGGAGGAAGGCGGGCTCAGTGAGCTGTGAGGCCAATCAGAGTGGACAGAGTCCTGTCACTCAAACCCTGGACCCTAACCTCTGCTCAGAGTAGAGCTGCAGCTTCTTGTCTGGAAATCATGTTCTTGTATTTTATCCAAAAATATCACTTTTCATATTCACACAGATTTCCAAATCATTGTAAAATGTTCATTAATAAAACCTGAAGTAAACTGATTGTTTCTATAAAAGTGCAGATTTGTTGGAATCATTTGCTTTGTATTTGTTTTTGTGTTGCAACATACTTGTTGAAATCTCATCTAATGTTGTTTTTAGCCTCCCTTTAAGTTTTCTAAAGCATTTTGAAACCTGCACACGTAAAAGTGCTGAGGTTTATAAATGGGGCAAAAAGTATTTATAATAATACAATTTGGTATTCTATAAGTATACCAAATAGTAAAAACAATAACATTAATATTGATTTTAAATGAATTTCTTCCTATTTTTTCGTTATGTTTTTCTTGTTAGAATTTGTTTAAATCCATCCAAATAACCAAAATTATTCAATTACAATTGTGAAATATGTAGTTGATAATTAATGGGTAATTTTATCTTCCTCTGTCTATTAACCATACAGCCTTAATAATACTAATTTAAAAGCTACAACAACCTAAGATTTCCAACAAAATGTGTAAAAATGTGCCTTTAACAATGAGGATGTAAATCATTATTAAGTGTAACTGTGATGGTCATAAAGCCCAGCAGCTGCTGGAAAGAAGGATCTAAAGTTCAGACATAACTCATTAGTTGCTCAAGTTGAAGTTTATTCTTTAAAGAGAAGGTCTGCAAAAGTGCTTCGCCATTTAGAAGTGTCAAAAAGCTGAATGCAGATCACAAAAGTTGGAAATCCAGGTTCATTATAACATCTCTAAGAAGATAATTTACAGATATAATTTACAACTGAAAAGTGCAAGAGAATCTTTCTTCTCTGAAACCATTTGCAAAAACACTAACAATGCACAAGTTTTCTTTACCACAGTGACTGTAGCCCCTGAACTCCACCAAACCAGGGCCTATAACAAATGGACTTATTTCCTAACTGAAATCATTCATAAGATTAGAGGGGCAGTGCATCCATATTAAGTCCAGCACCAAAGTTGCCTCCAACTTGAACTGATCTAGAGAAAAATTTTCCATTTTTTACCAAAAAAGCTACAAAAATTCAGAAGAAATCCAACACCAGTTAAGCTCTTTTTCCTGCTGTCTCAATATTTTACCCACAGCCTTCCTGCCTAAAGCTCTGCACTTTGATTAACATTTAAAGAAAAAAATTATACTTTCAGTTCACTGAGTTTCAGCTTTTTCTGTCTACAAACCATGCATAACATTGTGGTATGTATGATAACGTTTTTTGGTGGGGAAAAGAAAATACTGTAAAGTTTATAAGATATTTTTATGTGTTCTGTAAATGTTTTTACAACACTCATAGGTTCTATCTACAGCCAGAATGGTTTATGTTATGTGTTGTGATTTCCCTTCATCAGTGTTTTATACTGAGCCCATCAGCGTGCAGATTGTTATTATAAATGTTAATTTATTTGATGGGTTGTATGAGTACTGTAATTTGCAAAATAATAATAATAATAATAATAATAATGTTCTGTGAAAAATTATTGTTGTTTTGAAAGTAAAGCCTGATTTTTCAGGAGAATTGAAGGGCTTTGAACATTGTGTGTGTTTATTATTGTGTGTAGAGTTCTGAGAATATGTTTAAATGTTCAAGAAAAAAGGGTAAAATGCCATATAAGTATATATATAAAAACAATATATAAACAAGATAAAGAAGTGATCTGATCTCTCTATGGTCTATGGGATCTGAAAGATAAGCTTAGGGAGTTAGAGATTAAGCACTAGAAAATGCAGTCTTAACTGTTTCTGAGAGAAATTGAGCTAACCCATTTTGGGCCCACTTGATCATGAAAAGGTTATCAGGTCAGAACCAAGACCAAATGATACTAAACAAAGGGGCTTGCTAAAAAAAAACATAACAGAGTCTCTCAAGTTTGGATCTCTAGCACTGTTAGAACATTGTATTGACCTCTATTGATTGATTGATAATTAAACATATTTATTTACAGTTTTTCAAAATTGCTAAAACTCGTTTGTTGAAACCTTCTCCCATTTTCTCAAAACCTTAAACACAAATCCAATGAACTAAAACTGTTTTCATAAAACCACAGACTTCTCAATTGTAAGCAAACTTTTACATCAAAACCATCTCTCATGTGGTCAAAACCAAACAATGTCTTCAAATTATGCTCCCAGCAAGTAAAAACTGATTCACCAGAGTATTTACTAGACACTACAGAATATTGTTCAAGAAATAGCAACCACTATATGAAACCAAAAGAACATTTTCATTGTTAATTTATTTAACATGAAATATATTTTACGCAAAATGAAAATTGTAAAAAAAATAAAATAAAAAGTAAAGGAAAAAAAGAAGGAAAAGCAATTTACTGGCTCTGTCTGTTTTCACCAACAACTTTTCATTCCAAAACAATGGGAAAAGGGCCCTTTTTTGCAGGAGAATTCAAGGGCTTTGAATATTGTGTGTGTGTTTATTATTATTTGTAGAGAATATGAGAATATGTTTAAATGTTCAAGAAAAAAGGGTAAAAATGCCATATAAGTACAGTATATATATATATATATATATATATATATATATATATATATATATATATATATATATATATATATATATATATATATATATATATATATAAACAATATATAAACAAGATAAAGAAGTGATCTGATCTCTCTATGGTTTATAGGATCTGAAAGATAAGCTAAGTGAGTTACAGAGTAAGCACTGCAGTCATAACTGTTAACTGTTCCTGAGAGAAATTGAGCTGCCCCATTTCTGGTGTGAATCAGTTCTGGCAGAACTTCAAGCCTTGGCAAGACTTAGCAGTTTTATCATCACAGAGCTGTTGCATCACCTGCAGAGAATTTACCCTTGTACAGTGCAGTCAGTCATAAACATTCCACCACCATGCAGGTAAAAACTCCTGTATTGGATTTACAAAGGGGCAGTCGGGTCGGGTGGAAGAAAAACCCTTGATAAAGAGCTGATCGTTGGTGAACTACTCATGGATCAGGGCAGAATGGTGAAAACTAATGTAGTCCCAACCCATGATACACTAGATGCACTGCTTGCTGATCTCAATGTTCACATGCATTCATTAAATCCTGAAGACCACCAAGAAAGATTAGGAGATGTTCAGTGATATTTGGCCCCAAGCTTCCATGCAAGGGGAGAACCCCCTGGTTACTTTTGGCTGCACAAAGGATAAGGGTACATATTCACCACTCTAGCAGGGACTTCCAAATATTCTTTGTAAAAAAAAAAAAAAAATGAAAAGACAAAATGAGTACAGTACTGTAACTGACACAAGGGGCAACTTTTTTTTACTACATTTACATACAATAAAACATTTGTTTACTGTACTGTAATACAACATTTGCAACCATCAACCTAAAGTTACAGTCAGCCTGTAAGCAAAGAACTGGAAGTGTGTGCAGGCTACACTTATTTACACATACCGTTATCTTAGATTCCTCACTCTTGAAGAATTGTGCTCAAAGAGTACTCTGTACACTTCTTTCTAAATAAGTCGGTTATGTTGACAAACACGGTCAATAGTCGATACAGACACACTATTAATGCCATCAAAGTTGACATTGTCTTCAATTTCTCTTTGCTGGATTTCTCTGAGCACCCCATCCACCTTTGTTTGGTCGTCTTTCAATTCTACAAAGGAGAAATTAGCTTAAAGATGTGCACATACAGTAAAAACAGCATCATAGTGAACCATACAGTTATACCAACAGAAAAGTGTTCTATATGTCAATTACCTGTTCTCTTCTCTGAATGTCCTGATGATGCTGGCCACTGGTAATCTGCTCAAATTAGACTGGACTTTTTGTCCTGCTTCTCTCATTTTTAACCAATGAACAAAGACATGATATATGATAATAGTCGAGATTGCTTTGGGGATGATTGATTTCTGTCTTCCTCCGTTATGGTTCTCCCCTTTTGGACTTCTTTATGTGTTTTCAGTTGTTTATGTCATTCTGTTTTCTTGGTCATTGGTGTCAATTTAAGCTGTGTTATATTTTTTGTGCTACTCTCTGTTGCCCCCCTGTGCCAGTCTCCTTTCCCCTTGGCTCCCTTCGCATCACTTCTTTCCACACCTGCTTCATATCAGCTGATTTGCCAATAATTTATTCTGTCTCCCATATTTACACCTCCTCTGAAGTTCCTCATTGCTGGTTCCCCATTGTTACTTGGCTCCTCATGTGTGTTTTCCCCTAACTTCTCCTGGTTTTTGGTTTTCTGCATTGTGTTCCTGAATTTTGTTTCTGTTTCCCAATAAATTAGTAAAAAAATCACATCTGCCTCCTCATCTCTGCATTTGAGTCCTCAACCAACCTCCACCCTATGTTGACATCCTCTGCCTCTTCCGTGTCTCATTCCTCCTTGTACACCACATCTTATATGTACTCATCTGCCTGTCCTTTGTGGCCCTTGGCACATGGGCCACCTGTACTTCAGGTTTTCCTCTTGTGTCACAGTTTTCATTGATTGCATTGATCTGTTTGAAGAAACTGGGAACCTCTCAGTCTTCATCATCACCGTCTCAGTAGAGCAACAGACACCCCCTGCAAATGACTTGACCCTTTTGCGAAACAGTTAATGCTGATACTTCAGTGATCCTACCACATAGAATTACACGTAGTAGTTGACCACAGCAAGATGGAGGCAACGCATGTCTCCAGTGCCAGGCGATAGCGGTCAATGCAGGGTCCAATTATAAACATTTTTATGGCCTGGACTGCTGATTCAGACACCTGAGAAGGATGGACCTCTCATTACGGCAATAAGTTTGGTCTTTGGATCCTTAATTACAAGATGAGCAGCAGGCCTTGTTACTTATGTTGCAGATGGTATTTTTTCTTTTGAGGCTTTTGTTTTTGACTTGAAAGCAAATAAAGACGCAGGGGGGAAAAACTCATAATATTGAAAGTATTAATATAGATTTGATGCTCTTTTAGTTTATAAATTAATCCAGATTAACCAGT